CTAGTTCTATTATTATTTGGTCATTAAATGATTTGAAACTTTTGGTAACAAATTTTTCATTCATTTGAATTTAAGGTGAATATGAATTTTGTATTGATGTTTGATGTTAATTCGAATATATTTTTTTTTTTGCATAGGAAATTCGTTAAATATTCTCTAACCAGTTTGTTTATTTGTTTATCAACCTTTTTTTCGTTTTTTCATCACCATCATTATCATCATCGTGTCCTTATCAAAATTCGAATTCTTTCTATGTTCTATTGAATGACTGCATTCGCTTGGCTTTGCCACATCAATGACTCACTGATAATAATATTGAGTAGTGGTGTACAGTTCTGTAATTGAATTTGCTCACCAACAGTATATATACTTAAGCGACGAGAATTCGTTCTCTATGAATTTAACCTTTAAGCTGCGTCTTTCCTTTTGGATTAAATTTACAACTTGGTGGCAGATGTATTGTTTTATTTTCAACTCTGATTTTTTCTTCACAGTAACAAATGATGATTTTCAAAAACAGATCGTGAAAAGGTATTTAAGGTGCACAAAAAAAAGTGAATTATTGTTTTTCAAACTCATTTATTGTTTAAAATTAGAATCAAAAATGTCTCGAAAAAAAATTCAAATCCTTGAAACATCTCATGGAAATTATATCGATTCTCAAAATATTTGGCTCAACACTCAAACAAATAGGAACTTTTCTCAACAATTAAAACACCTCCCATTTTGTATTTGTTTTACCTCGATAACCTGAAAAGACCCCAAAATGAGTCTATTTGTCTCAATATTGTGGAACTTTCACCGGATCAGGTGGACCATGGATTTGGAAGATTTATATGATTGAAACAAATAATTGGCAATGCTAAACCATTTTCGTTCGTATATTCCACAACCAATTTTTCGTAGAATAATATACATCATATTGTTGAAAAATATCCATCTTTATTGGACACAGGTATGTAGCGGTACGATATTTATGAAGGATGAATGAAAAGCAGCGTGTTCGCTGTTCGTGGTTGTAAAATTGTTCGATTTGGCTTACTGACTCAAATGATTTTTGTTTTGTGATTTTTTTGTGTTTATGATTATTGTAATACCACCGATTGGTATGTTAAATGTATATTTATTCCTTTTTTATAATATATATCATTCCTATATTTCAGTAATAAAGATTTTCAATTGTTGTTGTAACACAGGTATGAACTAATAATGAAAAAAAAAGTAAAGTAATATAAAAATTAAGAATGCTCAGTATGATTTTTCATTTGAAATCATTCATCAATCATGGAAAATCAACCAAAACATTCTGAAATTCGCAAACAAAATTTTGTTGAAAAAAAGCTATACTTTCATACATTATTTTTTACATTGTATATGAAGGGTAAAATGCATTATGTAAAATAGCCCTGCTTAACGCTGTTTCGCTTAACGCTCAGAATTTTGTAACGTAACCCCGCGTTAAGCGGGGTATTACTGTACTGACTGTCCAATCCCACATAACCAACATCAAACATCGGTCATCACCAACATATTTTACTGTAAAGACAAATGTGACATATGCTTCAATCGAGAAAAGTGAAATGGTTTTTTTTTTTTTTTTTCTTTTAAAATAATTTGTATTTGTATTCCATTTATGCGTTGATTTTTTTAATGAAATAAAAATTGTAAAAATCGTTGTTATTGTCTAAAACAAATCATTTTGATCATGATCATCGTTTTATTGGTTTCATTTCATTCATCAATCGATTACTCGTGTCTCTGTGTGTGTGTGTGTGTGTGGATATATGATGCCATGGCAAAACACGATCATTGTGTATTGGATGACCAAATGCCCACAATCATTAAAATAAGTTTTGCACGTTTAGGTCGATGATTTTTTTTATCTTGTTCATGGAAAAATCTAGCCAACAACTCACATTATATATGATGGTTGATTAGCTAATATCTTCGATAAATTCGATTATGATTAATCGAATTTTGTGCTAGGATATTTATCGAATTTATTTTGTGGAAAAAAAATTCTTAATATTTTATCATCATCATCATTATCCGTTTGATTTCATGTTATATCGATTAAGCGCAACTGAAACTGAAACTGTCCATTAAGATCCTAATAAACGGTAAAGATATGATCGATGATGGTAATCATCATCATTTGTGATGATGATGATAATAATAATAATTTTAAAAGCTCACGAGTTTTTATTTTATCGACGATGACGATGAAAGGGAAAAAAATTTCTAAAATATTAAATTCACAGTGTTAATTCCCCATTGATGATGATGGACAGTTGGAAAAACAAAACGATATTTTCTTTCTATACCGTCGATGTGTCGTCGTGTGTGTGTGTGTGTGTGTGTGTGTGAATAGTTTAGATCTAGATTTCATTTTATAGAACAGAAATACCTGGAGAGATAATTTAAATTGTCTTATTCACTTCTTGTATTTTTTTTTCTTGCTGATGAAATCACCGTCGTAGCAGCAGCAGCAGCATTTGGCCATAATTGTTATTATTATATGGAGATCTAAAATTCAAATGGTTAAGAAATTTAAAAAAAAAAATTAATCCATAAATAGATTGATTGGAAAAACATATTCGATCGATTACATAATTTGTAATTCAATTATGATGCTATTTTTGTGTGATCAAATTAAAAAGAAAAACACACAGGAGGGAGGGGAGGAAAAGAGAACAAACAAACAAACAAAAATCAAGTTGACCATAAAAAGCTATTATATACAAACAAGGTGAGCACAGCAGTTTGCTTAGTTTCGAAAGACCACCAACATATTCTTTGGCTAGAAAAAAAATTCAAATTCAAATTTAAATTTTGTGTTTTTACAAAATCACAAAAAAAATCACATTTGCATCGCTCCACCATAATTGATCCAAAGAAATTTTTTTGCTTATCATAATTGTATATCGGAATTTTTCATTTTTTCTGTTACGCCACCGCCTAAGATTACTTACCACTCTGAGTTTGTTTTTTTTTTTTGAGTGTGAAAATCGATGTTCCGTTATGTATTGGGTGTAACTTGTGATTGGAACAAAAAAAAATTGATCAATACAATAATACCTAATCAATCAATTCAATGTTCAATCAATCGATCGATTGATTTTAATTTTGTTTCGTATTCGTATTGTTTACAACGAAATCATAAATCATTGGATTAAATGGACTTTTTTTTTTGCTTGATTTAATGTCGTTGATATGATGATATGGTATGGTGTTAATTGAGAAATTTGTTGCACAATTGTAAAATTATGATTGCATTCAATAATCGTTCGTTGTTTTGTTGTCGATTTAAAATCAATGATTTTGATGATAAAATTATCGATATTAACAAATCTAATAATCAATTTGAATGATGATGTTGGTGGTGGTGGTGGTTGTGGTGGCGGTGGTGGTGGTGATGGTGATCTTCTTCAACCAATAATTAATAAGGATTAATTTTTTTTGTTGCCCATTGATCAAAATGATAAAAACAAGAGTATTAATAAGATTTTTTATTTATACAAAATAAAATCAAACGTGATTATTATTGACGGAAGTGATCACAACACATAATTGATCGTTTTCCAATTATATGAAATGAAACAAAATATTAAAATATTTGTCCAAAAAAAACCGAATTCATTGATAAAATGGTCATTAAAGTTATCATTTATAATCGTGACCAAATCATTCGAATGATTATGGTTTTTTTTTATTGAAATCGAACAAAATTGAAAAAAAAATTATTTTCCATTTCTATCCCAAAGAACACGGAGAGGTTGAAATAGATTTTGATTATCAAAAATCATTTAATGGACTGATTCTGCAGAATTTCTTCATTTCAAAATTCCATATTTGATAATCAACATTCATCATCATCATCATCATCATCATCATCAGGATGTGCATATAATTGGGATACAAAATACATCTTTCTATTTATAGAATTTTTTTGACAAAACAACTGAAAAACACAACGAAATGATAAAACATTCGAAAATTTCATTTGAATGCACCCAAAAAAAAAAAAAAAATCATTCTCTCTTTGGCTATCAAGATCAACCTCTATTTTTTTTTCCTCAGAAATTTCAAATTAAATGTTGACGATTGTTCTATGTATTTTATCATCACATACATGATAATTGTCATTGCTCAAATACTCAATGAAAATAATGATGATGATGATGATGATGATGATGATTTGAACAGAAAAAAATGAACAGCTGCAGCAAATTTTTTTTTATCATTTCAACAAAAACAAAATTCGTTTTCATCTGTTTCAATTGTTTCTTTTTTTTCCAACAAACATTCATTCATTGTATTTATCGTTTGTGAATGGATCAAAAAAAAAAAAAAGTTTCACACAAGTTTATTGTCTTTTTTGACCAAAAAAAAAAAAAAAAATAAATAAATATGATTCGTCTGTGTCATATGGACATTATAATTGTCTGTAAATTTATGTCTATTATCATCATCACCATCATCATCTTTAATAATAATCAACATAACAATGTAACCAAAAGAAAAAACAACAACAACAAGCAACAGGTTTTTTTTCGGTTTAATTTTCATTTTTAAAATTAGCATCAATTGTCGTTCAATTATCATTTTTTTTATGGCTATATCACATATAACATCTGTATCCAAAAGGGGAATTAATTATCATTAAAAAAAATTGGACTCTATGGATAAAGATTGATGATGATGATGAAAAAAAAAACATACATCATTTAACCTAGATCTGATTGGCGAAATCAAAACAACAAAAAAAAAAAACAAAACAAAAAACAAAAATCCAAATTCAAATTATGGCCATTATAACTTGATCTAACAATTATAGTCAAAATAGTTTTATATAATAATCATATTATACCACGTGAGTATATATATCAAAATTGTTCGCAAAACAATCCGGTTATTAATTCATATTTTTTTGGTTTTTTTTATTGTTTTTTTTTTGTATCGAAAATAATTACAGGTTTCAATGAATATAATCATAATAATGATGATGATGATGATGAAGATTTATTTCTACTTTTTTTCTGGGTAATTTTTTTTTTCGTTCTACCAAATTCATTTTTATCAATTATATAATTCACATTCTCTTTTTTTTTGTTTTCAAAAAAAAAAAAATTTTGTTTTCGGCATCATTAATTCACATTTGTTGTTGTTCACCCCAAAAATTATACACAAACACAATTCAGAAGTTGAAAATTTTCCTTTTTTTTGTCTTATTTTCAGTTTCATCGTCTTCAAATGATTATGTTGTTGTTAATTTATTCATGTTTTTTTTCTCCTCGTCTCCGTCTAGATTCCATCAGTTATTGTTTTTAACTCGAAATGAAATAATGGCATCCGAATCCGAAAAAAACCCCCCAGAAAAAAAATGGACTGAATGTTTTCCAATTGAAATTGATGAATTGCGAACATTTGGCATTATTATATGATGATTATTATGGCAAGACATAAATGATCGACAAAAACAAAACAACAACAACAACGACAACAATGGATGAATGAATCATGGAATTTTTTTTTTGTTTGCACCACAACTGAAATGAAGAAATTTTGAATATAATGACCATAATTGATGAATTCATAGTTATGGCCTGTATATATCAAATGTAATTGGACATCGTTGCCCAAAGATTATAATAATACCCGGTATACCATTGTAATTGATGGACAGATGTGAACTGATGAAACTAACCAATCTTTCTGTACATTTTTATTTTGGACAGATTTATTTTTTTTTTGCCATGATGCCGATGATGATCATAATGATGTAAATTGAACCCGAAATAATTTTTTTTTTCATCAACAACAACAACAACAACAAAAATCAAATTGACTCAAACACCAATTTTAATGATTAGATTTGATCAATCGATTGATCTTGTGGTTAATTAAATTTGTGCCGTCGATTTGAGAAAAAAAAATGAGGAAAATCAAATTAACCTATTGGATCGAATCAAATTTTAATCCATTCACATTTATCTTTATCTTTCTATCAATAGAATTTGTTCATCACATCGTCGTTATCATTTTTGGGTTCCATAGTTTAATTACTGTCAGTCAGTCGGTCAGTTAGTCAGTCAGTCAGTCAGTCAGTACTGGTTTGAATATTAACCACAAACATAATAATAAATGACGACGTGATGTGAAACTTGAATCAAAAATTGAATCCGATCTCGATGATTATCATCATTATCATCATCATCATCATCATCATCTTTAATACTTGTATCATCGTTAATGTTGATGATAATCAAAGCCGAAAAAATAACAAATGATCATTCAATAAATAACTAAATGTGTAAAAAAAAAAAACATTCTGAAAATTCAAAGAAAAAATCTGTTGCTGTTAATCAATTATTATTGACATCATCATCATCATCATCATTATTGTTGTTGTTATAATTAAAATCTTTGGAAATTGAGAAAAAAAAATCAATTTTTTGGTTCATCAAGTTAAAACCATGTGGTTAATATGTTGTTATTGCTCGAACACAACACAACACATTCAATTCCATCGACAACAAATCATTGAATCAATCAATTTTTCATTTAATTTTTTTTTAATTTAGCTTGTTAAATGACAATATTATTTGTGGAATCATCGTCATCATCATCATCATGTCATGATCATCATCACCTTTAATATCGTTTTTTGTTTCGAACAATTTATAGATCATCATCATCATCATCACCAATTATTATCAGTGTATATAGTAATCACATAAGCTGTCATAATGATAATGATGATAATGCTATGCCATAAGGTGTTGACTGTCAAACAAAATCAAAATTTCATCATAATAATAATAATCGTTGACAGTACTCATCATCATCATCATCATCTTCATGATCATTTCAGACGTTGTGGTTGTTGTTGTTGTTGTTGTTACTGTCTGCATTTATGTTTTCATTGAATGATTTCGATTTTCAAAAAAAAAAAAAAAAAATTAACGGTACCACCGATCATAGATGATCGTGACCTATCTCTTATTTCGCCCAAAAAAAAACTAGAAAAAAATGTATTGAAAAACATTTTTTTTGATCCATTGGATAAAATATCTAGTGTAATATTTATGATTTATAAGTTGAAAATGAAAAAACTTTTGAATTTTTCTCCCAAAAAAAAAAATCAAAATCAAAAAAAAAGGAAGATCTAGACACGAATTACGTTGTTGTTGTTGTTGTTATTGTTGTTGTTGTTGTTGTTGTTGTGGCATGATAACAATCTTATTTTGACCAAAAATGAAAAGGGTGTTTTAAACATTATGTCTCTTTATTTATAACGGATTTTCATATTCACACGAATAAAATATTCATTTCAAGGTTTTTTTTCGTCACGAATCATCATCATCATCATCATTTCTTTTGTTCATTTTCCGGTTCGTGTGTGTGTCTGTGTTGATCAATTTTTAAGATTCAAAAAAAAAAAAAAAAAAAAAAAAATTCAACCAACGAAAAACTGTAGTTGAGGTAAAAATCATTAATTTTTTTTACCAAAATTTTTTTATTTATGGAAATCCACTGATGATGAAATGATGATGGAATGGCCACAACATCTTTCATTATTATTTTTTTTGTTTAAAAATGATGATGATTGTCATTATGACAACTACAACAACAACAACAACAACAACAACAAATGAACAACAAACAATGTAACAACAACAACAACAACAAAAAAAAATCATTTCTATAGCTAGCCCTTTTAAAATTTAAAAACAAAGGTGGTACAAATGAAGTTGATGGATATGCCAAAAAACAGTGGCAGATATGAAAACAAAACAAAAAAGTTGATTTCTATTTTTTTTTGTTTGGTTAGGTTGTTTAGGTTTTGGCTACCACTTCATATTAATGATGATGATGATGAATACACAAATCAGATTTTAGGTTGATTATCTGGTTGTATGAATTGTTGGATGGATGGATATTTATTTTCGAATTTACAAAAAAAAAGATAAAATGGATAAATTCATAAATGTCGTTCTTGTTTCTTCAACAAAAAAAAAACATCATCATCATCATCACGGTATATGCAAATCAACAACAAATCTGAATAAATGACGATGATGAAGATGACAATTGTACCATCATCATTATAATTCAAGACAATCTATGTGTACTTATTAATTATAATCATCATCATCATCATTGATGACAAGCCCATTACTTGTTTGTATATATATGATATCCACCACTTTCATGTGTTTCAAGAAAATTTTCACGTCTATTTCAAACTTGAACTATGAAATGAAAAATAATCCTTTCATTTAATTCAATCATCATCATCATCATAATTAAAATCATAAAAACGGAAATGACATTTCATAAAATCATCCAATGAACAATTATGAACGAATATTTTATATATTTGTTTCGAGAAAAAAATGAAAATGAAAATGAAAACTTTTCATCTTTTAGAATTTTAAATTCTCATTCATCATTAATAATAACAATAATAATGATGATGATGATGATTTGGTTTTTACCTTTTTTCCCTTTTTAATCCGTGTCCGGTAAACTTTTATTGTCCGAATCATCATCATCATCATCATTATAATCGTTGTCTGGGTCGTCGCCATCGTCATCTTTTGGTCATCCATTGTCAGACTATTTTTTGTCCTATTAAAAGTCTTGAATGTTGCTGTTGTTCGTTCGGTTATTATTATTGTTGTTATAATTTTTAATTTTTTTTTTTGGTTGTTCAAAAATAATGAAATTATTATTATCATGTCTTCCTAATAAATATAATAACAAACAATAAGAATTACAACAACAACAACAACAATAACTTTAAAAATGGAACAATAACCATTGAGAATACATACTCATTCAGTAACAAGACATGACGTCGTCGTCGTCATCGTCGTTATTGAAATGAAAATAAAAGTGTGTGTGTGTGTGTGTGTGTGTGTGTGTGTGTGTGTGTGTGTGTGTGTGTGTGTGTGTGTGTGTGTGTGTGTGTGTGTGTGTTTGGAGAGAGGAAGAAGAGAAAATAAAAGTTAAATAAAAGGGGAAAAACATATTAAATTAGCCATTACCAAAATTAGACATTATATATGATAATAATATGAATATATTACATTTAAATATATTCGTTGTTGTTCATAATCATCATTCCATTTACGAATGATGATAATCGGTTCATCTGTAAAAAAAAAATATATAGAACATTGTTTAACCTTTTTGTTTTATTGTTTTTTTTTCACCTATTATTTTTCTATGTTGGAACGCGACATCCATCCGTGCCACACAGACACACACACACACACATACTTAAAGACATCTGCGTGTTAATTTACTCATTCATTTATCTTGTTGCTTGTTGTTGTTCCAAATGGAACGACTTGTAGCTGCTTGATGACGTTGATGGTATACATAGACACAAATGAATCATTTTTTTTTTTTTTCTTCTTCTGACTATTTGTCATGTAGGTGGTGAGGATCACATTTTGTCTTTGGTGATGATGATGATGATCATTTAATTGGTATCATTTTTAACGTTTGTACACATTGGTGATATACAAATGCCATGTAGGAAGAGAAGTATAGATATATTTAAGATTCGATGTTGTTGATGATCCTCGAGATGAAACAACTGTCAAAAAATAAAAATTGTGATTATTTATCCAAAAAAAAAAAAAATTTGATTCAGAATCACATTCATTCATCTATCCATCATCATCATCATTTATTTTCTAGATCTAAATAATACAATGGGAAAGGGATCTTACATTTTTTTTCTCTTGATATTATTTATGTCTCTGTTCCAAATGGATCACAATGGTGATGATGATGATGATGATGACGAATGACAAATGCATTTCGCGCCTTTTGAAATAATGGGCCAACAACACACACAGACGCATACATATCTTCATTTGAATATCTTGATGATGATGATGATGATGATGATGATGATCACACTTCCTACGATTATCATTTTGTTTTGTTTTGTTTTGTTTTTTTTTTTTGCTTTCGTTGAATAATTTCGTTACAATTACATTTAGTGATTTGAATATGCAGCCAAAAAGAAAAAAAAACTTTCATAAGTCGTGTTTGGTAAGTGTTCTATGTTCATTGATGATGATGATGATCATAACATTCGAATCATTTTTGGGCATGTACATAGATGACGTTCATCATCATCATCAGGAAGTTTGAGTTAAAATCTCATTTTTTTTTCTTGTTTATCTTGGATGATGATCTTTGTTTGTTTGTTTGTTATGTGATTGATATATTTTGAATTTATTTTTTCATTTTGAATTCGATTTGCATGTTTACATTGGCCATATCGATATGATATGATTTCCATCATCATCATCATCATCATTATATCATGATCATC